TGATGTCAACACGACCCGAGTGAAATGTGCTGCCACTCAGCCAAAAACGATCCACAAAACCTGCCATGTTAATACTCAAAAAGTGCTATGTTACGCAAAAATGAATATTTGAGCTTTAAGGTATGTTATAATGTTGTTACCTCCTCAAAAATATACCTGGAGTTGTGTTTTGTTTCATTCATGTTTGAGTAATTCTATATTATTTGTCTACATCTCCAACACTGGAAAAAAATCTACATCTAGGCAAGTTAAAATTACTTAAATTAAGAACGTTTGACTTTATCTGAGTCGATTCAATTTGACGAATAAAATCATCTACCAATGGAATAAGTGTGTTTATCTTAATTCATGCAACATTTGATTCATGTTGTTTCTTATTTTATGTGCAAAAAGTTGTTTTTCTTATTTTAAGTGTAGCAAGATGCGTTTTCATAATTTAAGTACAAAAATCTTGTTCCACTGGCAGAAAATTTTACTTGTCAAGCGAAATTGACTCAAATCGTGATTAAACTTTCTTAATTCAAGTCATCTTAACCTGTCTAGATTCAGTTTTTTGCAGTGAAAGCTTAAAATGTTCAGTTCCACCTTGTGATGTCATGTAGTTTTCAGAAAAGTAGTTTTTTAAAGCGTCTTTAAGTGTCCAAAAAAGTGCTATATAAGTCTGATGTATTAAATGAACAGCTCCTTTTACCTTTAGTTCAGTAGAAATGGTCAATTCCAGGGCTGAAATTATCTAAATGATTCTAGTGAATGTGTAAGGAGCTTAAAAACACAAAGGAGAGCACTTTCTGTATTCCCACATGACATCACAAGGTGGAATGGCGTGTTTTCAGTTTAAGAGGTTAAACATGTGAATGAAACAAAACACAACTCCTGGTCTGTTTGTGATCAGGAAACAACATTGTAACATCAGAAAAACACAATAGCAATGGTGTATAAAAATGGATTTGTTTAGTTGTGATAGTGGCTCAGTAGTTAGAAAGTTAAAGTAGAGCTGTTTAATGTCACACTGCGGAACATTCCAGGCAGAGCAATGACATATCCATAGAAAAACAAGAAGGTGACGGACCCCCCAAACTAAAAAGTAACACAGTGCAGCTTTAAACAAGACATAAATTCAGATTTAAAATAGTAATAAAAAATGTATCTAAGGAGGTAAAGTCATGGTGTTTTAAAGCAGACCTGTTACACAAACTTTGCACAATTTGTCTGAAATTAGAGCTTTTAACAATACTGTGGTTGTTTTCCCTTCTCATTTACTCAAAGTTGTTTTTGGAGCGATTCATGCATGTTTGGGCAATCTTTACTTGACGCGATACACCCACTGCTCTGTACTTTGCTCTCCAAATTTTGATTGGCGATACGCAAAGGATTTGTCAGCGTTCCGTAGTCACTTTTGTATATTCTTGGGCGGATAATTTCACAGCTTTTTGTTGTGGTATTTTCTAAACCGGAAGTGAGCAGAGTTACGTTTTATTAAGTCGTTTTAGATCAGTATTGTGATGTGCAAAATGTGCAAATTATAACAGTGATCCACTCCATTTGTTCAATACGAATTAAGTCTTTTTCATGCTGTATTAAAGTAATTAAGATGGAGTTATTATGAAGTGTTACCCAGACGTGTAGGGTTAATTATCAGACCTTAGACTTAGACTTGGACTTTATTTGGACACGGTATCTTACGGCATATTACAAAAACAAAGCAAAAGGGTATAATCAGTTCTAAATAAGTAGCAGAAATAGCAGGAGACTGATGACAAATAAGGCAAACATTAGTTTTTTTGTTGACCTGGTTTAATATCTGTATTTAAAACATCCGTTTTCTTTCTTTTATCCGGGGCCGGGTCATGGAAACAAAGTCCAATGAAGCCAAAATACAAAAGCACAATATAGTTCAATTTGTGTATCATTCATTCATTCGTTTTTCTGGGTAAAACCAAAAATAAGAAAAGGAAAAAAACAACTATTTCCTTTTTTATTTGTCTCCAAAACCAAAATGAAAAAACAGATGATTAATTTTTTTCAGTTTTTGATTTTGTGTTTAAATGAACAATGGAAAAAACAGATAATGGACGTTTCCTGTTTCCATGACTTAAACTGCGATGCCGGACCTTTACGCTGCATACGGACTGAACCAGGACTAAACCAGATCTAAACCAGGTTTAAACCAGGACTAGTCTTGGACTTGAGAGCGAGAGAGAGACGGAACCCTGAAGTAGGGTGTCCAGTTTAGTCCTGGTCCAGTCCTCTTCCAGTCCTGGTCCAGTCCTGGTCCAGTCCTGGTCCAGTCCTGGTTCCAGTCCTGGTTCAGTCCGGCATCGCAGTTTAAGTTTCAGAAACAAGAAACAGGAGTTATGTTTTTTGTTTTTTTTCAATTTTTCATTTAAACACAAACTCAAACTGAAAAAACGAATCATCAATCTGTTTTTTTTTTTTATTTTGGTTTTGGAGACAGATAATAAAGGAAATTGTTGTTTTTTCATTTTCTTATTTTTGGTTTTATTTTGAAAAATGAATTCACGAATGATACATGGATTTAGTCCAATACATTAAAAAAATGTTTACCCTGACTTTTTGTTGTTTTGAATGCTCCAGTGACGCTGAATCACGCCCTCAAATCCTATAACGCCGTCAACGCAGCCTGACTTCACATTTGAACTTATTTAAACTTATTTAAACCCCAAATGTATCCTAACAAGATCAAGTTAAAGTGATTACGACATTCTCGACTATAATATCCATTGTGTTCCGAAGCCTTTGGGAGGACTCTGGGGCACAGGATTCAGTTGCGTAACCTCCTCGGCCTTTGTCACGTGGTCAAATATTGGCAGTCGGTTCTCTTCGACCTTGTGAGGTTAAGTCCTTTTTACAGCTTAATCGCTCCGTTCGGGACAATATACGCTTTTACTGCACATCATTTTTTATGATGATACTAAATAGAATGCTAGATGTTGGATAGAAATGCTGGTAATTGGTGTTTAAATGTAGGTCATAAAACGATTTTTGAAATATTTTGGTTGAAGTCATCATCGTAATTAATAATATTGATGTATTATTAATGATTTTTTTTTATATTTAAATTTATTTTTAAAAAGCAAAATCCAGTTTTTTTTTTTGTTTTTTTTTTTATAAATCATAGTGAATTTTAATTGGATCTGTTATATTTTTTTATCTTTGTTATTTTGATCAAACGCATCGTCGCCGTACGCAGCAGTTAGTGAAAATTAATTAAAACCATATAATGAATCAAACCTGGCATTTAGAATCATTTGGCTGTATAATATTCCCCCAAGGACAATTATCATCATTATTTTTAAAAGGTTGAATGTTTATTACAGAGCACAAAATAAACACAAATGTAAATGAATGTGGATATAGAATTTCCACAAATGAGCGTCTATAGGGAAAATGGCAAATATAAGGCAAACAGTTTTGTATTTGTGGGTGGGAAAAAACAACTATCTACTGTTTATACTCCTTACTTAACTATACTATGATTTTTTTGCTTTTTAATGTACAGATTTTTTTTTTTTATTAGTTTTTTGTGGTCACTGAGTTGAATTTACACTTAGTCTTTGACAAACTTTATTGATCCACAAGGGAAATTATTTGGACACAGCAGCTCCCACATCACAATAAATATAATAACAAAGAGAAAACATATAAATGGTATTAATAAAGTCAAAATAAGTAGCAGAAATGGCAAAAGACAGATGTCATCCATGGATTTTTTTATATATACTGTATGTTACCGTGGTCCATAAAAGCATGCTAAAAAATTTAGTTTCAGATAACCTCGATAAGAACCCTGGCTTGCGTTAAGTTTTAGCATCTAAATGATAATTTATGAATAAATTGGGAAGAAAAAGGAGTTATTTGAGAGGTTGCTCAAGCTACATGAAGTTTCCTGGTAACTGACTAATTTTGTGTTTTCAAGGTACATTTTTATGGACTGTATGGACTTTCTAAGTAATTTTTATGCAAGTTTGTTTGTGCTTGCAGAATAAAATGGCATTTTATTATTTTTTTTAATACACCTTATTTATTTGGTTTGCTATAGAGTTTTAGATTATAGTATAGGGCAATTTTCAAGTGTATTGAGCAACTTCTAAATATGAATTAATTTTGATCCAGATATGGAACCAAATGCAGGGTTCAAATCTAGAGAATCTAAAAAAAAAAAAATGTTTGGACCACCCTACTCTATTTGCATTGAAGTCAAATTGAATAATTTTATGTTTATGCAAGTGGCAAACCCAAAATGTTTATGTTTATGTAATTATTATTATTATTATTGTATTTTTTGAATTATTTATTTTATTTTATTATTATATTTTTATTTATTTATTTTATGTTTTTTTGTTTTTTTTTTTCAAATTTATTTCACTGTGCAGTTGTTTGGGCAATTATTTTGAATACATGATTCCATTACCATTAAATTGTGCACAATTCAATATAAAACAATATACAACAATTTACATTCCAAGAGACCAAACAGATATATAATGTACAAGATTATTTTTCCTACTTATTTAGAATTCATTATTACCATTTATATTTTATCTACTGTGACGTGTGAGCTACTGTGTCCAAGTAATTTCCCTACAATAAAGTTTGTCTAAGTCTAAATGTAATGACAAAAAAGCAAATAAATAAATGCTAAAGAGTGTGTACATTCAAAATAACTAAAAAAAACTGCATAGTCCTAGTCTAAAATGTGTTGTATAGGCCTTAGTTTCCCAGTCCTTTATGTAGTGAATCATGACCAATGCTTTCTGGCACCACACCTCCACAAACAGCACAGCACAAACCGCACACCGCCAGCTTAATGTCAGCCTCCCAGCCGTGCAAATAATCCCATTGAATTTGCTTCTTTCGCCGCTCTCTGTTCTCCCTCTGTCGCGTTTGGCCTTATGGTGACGGGCGCGCTTGTTTCGCACACCCGTACATCTGGCCCGGTACTGACGGCGCGCTTGTTTTCTTGTTTTCTCCGCCCACAGGAAGATGCACAGCGGCATGAAGACCTACGGCTGCGAGCTGTGTGGGAAGAGCTTCCTGGACAGTCTCCGTCTCCGCATGCACCTGCTGTCTCACTCAGGTAGGACGGGGAATGCAGAACCAACGCACCCGCCGATAATACACGCTTCTCTTTGGTGTTTGCATAAGAAAATATTTAATACTTCTGACATATTTGCAATTTTGTGTCTAGTTCAGTTCATAAATTGCTCTTCGAAAATGCAGATTCATTAGACTTTTGAATGGCTAGATTGAAATTGTTCGTCTAATTCTGGAAAAAGTGATGACTAGTTGCTTTTAGGTTCTGTAATTGAAGCTTCTATAACTGAAAATCTAGTTACTATTGTACGTGTGCTAGTATAAATGCATTTTTTATATACATTTTTGTTAAAGCGGTGTAAGACTTGAAGCATTCATAGCTTAGTACAATTTAAATATTCATATTCTTGGGTTTTTGCTTCCTGTTATAAGCTCAATTTGGATGATGAATATAGTTTCATATATCTAATTTTGAAACTGAAAAAATGATTCTGTAAAGCTACCGAGATGTAGAGGTGTAATCCTTCATTCCTTCACGGGAGGTACAATGTAGAAACCTTTAAGGCCGCCACACACTACGGGAGAATTTGCCCGATTTTGGTTGCGAGTCTGGGGAGTTGTGACCCGATTTTCTGTCTTCGTGTGCGGTTTTGAAGCCGCTGCTCCTCGTGTTTGTGTTTCAGTGTGACTCTGAGCTGCTCTGTCGGAATGTAACCACCAAACATCAGCAAATTTACGGTAACAGCCACAGTTGGGCACTTGCAAGTCGTGACGTGGACTTGAGTCAGACTTGAGTCACTATTTTTAGGACTTGAGACCTGAATGGATAAAATAGACCTAGATTTGAGACTTGACTTGGATTTGAGCCCTGTGACTTGAGAGGACTTTCTATTCTGACCGTAATTATGCACACTAATCTTGACAAGACATTTAAACAGGAAAAAATCATATAAACTACAAAAATGTATTTTGATTTAAAGACTTGAAATGACTTGAAGCTCAAAGCAGACCACTTGGACTTGACTTGGACTTATGGACTAGTGACTCGAGACTAGACTTAGACTTGCCTGTATTTGACTTGGGACTTGAGACTTACTTAAGACTTGCAAAACAACGACTTGGTCCCACCTCTGGTAACAGCCAATAAAACAGAGCATCAGACAGAGTGACAGACACAAAGATGCAAGATAAAAACTCAGGAAATAGCAAAAAATAATGAGAAGACTTTATTACTCACCTCTTGTAAAGTTGTAAATTTTAAGTGCAGCATCTCATCCACATTATCCACAGAATGCAAATAATGACACCAAGTCCGCAAAACCAGTTAATCCAGTTTGAGGCGTTCTTTGAAAGTAAAAAGGTGAGAGTAGTTCCTCATGTGTCTGATCAGTGATAATGACTCTACTTCCTGTGAACTTTTGTGCTTTAAATATCATATAGCTGAAGTTTTGCACCACAGTTCACAAGTAATATTAACACAGTTTTGACTTCTATCTAATCTAGAAGTGCAGACATCTGATCTTTTGAACACTTCAGGTTACATTTACACTGAAACGAATCAGCGTATTGGAAACATATTTGCGTCCAGACACATCGTTTCTGTGTCCACAAGCCTTCTCTGTACACACAGCTTTGAGCATATTTATTTACATTTTACAGAGACAAAACTTAAAACCACATGGCCAATTTGCATAAACTAAACACTCAAAAAACAGCTCACTCCTTGTGTCCTGATCTGGCTCAGCTTCTGTTGGACTTAAAAAGGGCACAACTCAGTGGAATATGTGTTTTTTTTCTATGACGGAGGGATGTCCTGTTGATGGTGAGTCTGTTCAGTGCAATTAGTTCTAGCTATGCTGTTTCCCGTTTGTCTATGGTTTGTTTAAACTGTTTTCCGCAATAGCATCACATGACCGATGTCACGAATCAGGAAGACGCAAATGTCGTGGTCCAATAAGGACGACAACTCGAGCTCCTACATCAGAGTATCAACGTTTTCAGGCGTCCACACGGGGCCGTATCAGATCCGTACTCAGATGAGTTCGTGGGAGCTGGCGGCACCAGATCGTTCCGCCTCTGGAGCCGTTTTCCACACTGCACCCGCAACGAAAACGACTCGAATACAAACTAGCGTGGACGGGGCCTCAGAGTCTCAAAGCGAGTGGTTTTACTGTAGACAGGAAATCCTTTGGTCTGCAAACGTATCCCGCTGGAGTCTTTGCGATCGGAGATTTTAAGTCTCACAAGATTCTCCTCGTGTCTGCGGCATGCGCTTTTTGTCGCTTTAAGATAGAAAAATCCTGTAGTGTGTGGCGACCTTTAGAAACCGTGATCAGTTTCAACGTTATGGCTCGATCACAAAAGCATCTGCAAGTTTATTTTATTTCACCAGGCCTTAGTTCAGACTCACCTGTGCTCTTTGCTTTTCTTTTGTCAGACCAAAATGTGCACAGTATCAGACAGCAGTAAACATAGGCAGCATCTAGAGATGGAGTGATACAGATGGCAGCTTTAAAGACACAATATTTAATCCAGATACACGATAAAGCATATAGAATTGTAACGCCTTCTTCTTTTTCCCCTTTGTATAAGTGGAATATTCTGTAAGTGTGTATGAGCTGGCGGTGAGGTGATGGATCTTGAGTTGGAAAAGCTGAACCGGAGCGCAGCATGTGCTCGGGTGTATGGGGATGGTATGTTCCAGTGTATGTTCTTTATGCAGGAACAGGATTATTTATGGTGTCTGGGTTTGCTATCAGATCAGACGGAGTTTGGCTGACTCCCCGGTCCGAGTCCACTCCGTCTGGCCCGTGTTCGAGTTCAAGTCTTATCTGCGGCTGTACATGTGTGTCCGCGTATCACGATGTAAATGGACCGAACCCCGCTGCGTTCCCGTGCGCGCTGTGGTCAGGCGAGGCGGTCGTATCGCTGATTTATTTTATGTTTCTAACTGGTCCGGTCACCTTGAAGCCCCCATGTATCAGTCAGGGTCTATTATTGTTATAAAGTAGGTGTACCGTTACAAGCGCATTAGTCATCATTTGAGCGACATGAAAAAATAAAAAGACATCCTTGCCTTTTTTTGTAAATGTTTTGTTATTTAAATCGACTGTATGTACCATTTTGAATTTCACAAACATGACAAATCAAAAAAGCAACAAATTAGAAAGCAGAATGAGCCTCACGTGAGTCTCTTTTTCAAATTTTAGTTACAGTTTCTGAAATGCTGTGGTCTGTTAAAAACTAAGACTACGTTTATATGATGACGGTCTGAACAGAAGACGCGAAAGTGGCGCCGCGTCTTCGTTTTTTATTCCACGTTTAGGTGAAAATCGGGATGGATACGGTGACGCAAAAGTGTGTGGAATTTGATATGTGGGTGTCCATGCCGTGTTTCTGTGTACTGTATGTACGCGGCATGAGCAGATCTGACCAGAGTTTTGTATCTTGGGGAATGTAGACGGAAACGCTATGGCGGATCGTATTCAACTTTTCCACTCTGGAGGGAGGTTTCAAATTTTTGTGTTTTTAAGCCCCAAACACCAGACATTGAGCAGAATTAAATAAAATGTAAACCTCAATTCGGGATTATTATTTCCACGTAAACTAAAAGGTTGTGTTTCGTTTCATTCACACACGTTTGAGTAACCCTTTATTATTAGTCTGGCGACATCTCCCCAGCTACTTTTAGTTCAGTAGTTCTAGAGATGAGCTGAAATTTCCAAATAATTCTTTAAAAACACAGTGGAGCTGAGGTATGTTGCTGATGAGCAAACAATATTATAACATAGAAAACACAGAAAATAGTGAAATTTGAGCCTTTTAATGACGTAAACGTGTACGCGACGTGAGCAGATCTGACCAGAGTTTTGCGTCTTGGGCAGTGTAGACAGAAACACTACGCTGAAGTGTATTCAACTTTTCCACTCTGGGGGGTGGTTTCAGATTTTTGCGTTTTTAAGCCCCAAAAATGCCATCACCGTCTAAACGAAAGGCACTTCCAATAAAATATTTTGTTGTTCTTACCCGCAAAAGTTCTCATGTAAACAGGCCCTTAATTACAAAAAACAATACAATAATATAACCAGAAAGCAGAATGAACCTGGTGTGTTGCAAGTTTCAATGCTGAAATCCCGTCTGTTAAAAACTAAATGGAGTCAGCTCAGTGAGTGAATTCTTGAGATTCTGAGCTTTCATATGATGCATGGCCTGTCCATATACTGAGAATATGAAAAACGTGTACAGTATGTGTCTCTATCTGCAGGTTAAAGCTCTGGAAACACAGGCTCGGTTGTGATTTGCCACGTTTACCTGCAAAGCTTTAATTCTGACTTAACTTAATTCCGAAGTAAGTGGGTGGTTTATTCTGATTTTAAAGCCGAATTAGTTTATTCCTCGATCATGTAAATGTTTATTCTTCTTAAAAATAATTCTCGTTGGGTCGTCCTTCTGACGCGATCCGGCTCTATGTGTCCTCGCTTCGGACTTTCATCCACGTCTCTCTGGATTTGCGAGCGGGATGTGGGAGTGGGTTGAGGAAGAGCAGCCGGTTGACTCAGTTTGTCGTCTTCCTCTTTTATCCGACACTCTTCCCTTCTCCTCAGCCGACAGACGAATTCTCCAGCTGCCGCGCAATTATCCTCAAAACCACTGCGAAAAAAGTTTGGATCATGTTTGTGTCCATGGCGTAACAACAAACCGTAACAACAAACCGAGATGACGAAAAAGCCGGTAGCAGCTGAAGTGTGTTTTTTTCTTCCGGTCGACGTAAATCCGTTTGTGTCTCTGTCCAATCAGAACCCTTCCCCACCTCCAGACGTTTAGCGGAATTAAACAAAGACGATTTAACGTGTTTTCCATGTAAACCTCAATTCAGAATTATTATTTCCATGTAAAATCGAAGAAGAACATTTTAATTTCAAACTATTTAATTCAGAACAATTAATTCGGAATGAAAAACCATGTAAATGTGACCACTGTGAGTCTTTTTTTTAAACCGTACGAGCACATCCAGAGCTACATGCTGTTCCTTTAAAGCTCCTG